TGAGACTCTGTCTCAAAAAAAAAAAAAAAAAATCTAGTTGTCCTATGGCGTGGTGGTAGAGAAAGCAGAGTATAGAGCATAAGAAACTTGACTTTAGAATCAGACTTCCTGGGTTCAAATTCTTTCTCTACCATATATTAGCTGTGTGATCTTGGACAAATCACATAACACTTCTATGCCTTATATTCTTCATCTATGAAGCAGGATAGTAATGTTTTGGATTGAATCCCCTCATCCATATATTGAAGTCCTAATTACTGATATATCAAAATATGACATCTACTGACATCCTGGTCCTGACGTCTAGCCTCCTACAAGTGAGACAACGGTCCCCCACTGTGAGACAGTGTCTATTGTTTAAGCCACCCACCCTGTGATGTTTCCTTACAGAAGTCCAAGAAAGCTAACACAAATAGGTTGCCTTGAGGATTCAGCGTGTCATAACTGGCAGAGTGCTTCCAATAGTATTTGCCACAGAATGAGCACTAATAAATGAGTCTGTTTAGTAAGTGCCAGCTGGGGGCCCTGTGCTTTCTTAAAGGCTTAGCTTTCCATTAGAGTATGTGACTTCAGAGACACTAGCAGTCCCACCCACCTGAGAAAAGCAAATGCCTTCATCCTTCTTCCCTAAGTCTGGTCTCCAATTAAAATAATTAGAAGACTGATGATACAGTCAAAGTGATAACAACCATTTCATAAACACTTCCTACATAAAAGGCACAGTACTAGGTACTTTCTGTATATTAATATCTTCTCTATTTTCCCAACTGCCTTGTACTGGCGTCCACTGTTGAGGCTGACATACCTCTGTGATCGCTGGTTATCAGGGCCTCAGGAGAGGCTGTGTCCTCATTTTAAGCCTCATCCCTGACCCCTCTTGGCACCTCTGCCCTGTCCTTGAGGACCAGGTAACTCCTTTCCCTACACATTCTGGAGTAAATATGAGGGGCCAGCACTTAGTAGCTTGAAGCTACAATGGCTACTTCTTTTCCCACCATTTGTGTGGGTCAGAAATGTAGCAAGGGCTTGACCGGGCAGTTCAGGATCAGGGTCTTTTGACACAGTAGCAGTGAGTTGGTAACAGGTGTCAGGGCAGCTATGGCTTGGCCAGCTGTGTCTCTTTCTTCCTGAAATCTCATGAGTTCTCCATATGCTCACTCTGTGTGGGTCGGTTTGGGCTTCCTCACAGCATGGCTGCCTCAGGACAATTTGGCTTCTTAGACGACAGCTCAGGGGTCAGGCACAAGACAGGAGCTACAGCACAATTTATAATTTAGCCTCAAAAGCCACAAGAAAAAAATCACCTCAGCTAAATTTTGTTACAAGAAAGTAAGAAACTCACCAAGTTTCAAGGGGAGGGCCAGTTGAACCCCAACCCTTGATGAGGAAGTGACAAGATTCCAGAGGAGCAGGTGAGTCAAAAGCTATTGTTTGGCCTTTTGGGGAAAGTATGTTCCTAGACACTCCTAGGCCCTTTATCTGTGTATCAGGACTTGGTTCAGTCACTTAGAATAGAAAATTTAAATTACAGAAGCCTGAACAAAAAAGATTAATTTTTCTCTTATATAAGAAAGCGCCAGTGATGGGCAGTCCAAGGTTAGTAGAGTAGCTCTATAGTCATGACAGACATGTTCTGTCTGTTTGTTCTACCATTTTTGGTGAGTGGCTTCCTATTCTTAATTATTTTGCTTATTGGCTGTAAGATGGCTACTCTGGCTCCAGCCATCACGTCGGTGTTCCGGGGGTGGCAAGAGGAAATGGAAAGGCAAAAAGGGACATTTTTCAGGTGAGACAAACACCTTTATAAAGCTTTCCTAGAAGTTCCATCCAGTGACTTGCATCTATATCTCATGGGTAGCTTGGCACATTCTTTCACCCAAAATATAACTGAGGAAAAAGGGATATTAGGTCAGCAACTGACTGTACTTGCCACCTGTAGACATCCCCTTCTACGGCTGGGCCTCCCTGCTTTAGGCAAGACTTCCGTTTGCAGCCTTCCGAAGGCTACACATGAAGGATGAAGCCCAACTTCCATTTCTGGAAACGTTTCATTTCTGTCTGGCGTTCCCAGACTTCAGGCATGACAGACCCTTTTCAGAGACCAACATTAACAACTAATGCTTAGTTCCTTGTGCAAGACTGATGCCTCTCGTCAAAGATAACTTTTTCTGAATTTTGCTTGTGGGAAACGTGACTACTTCCATTATCCTGCCTTCTTCCAGAGTTGATGCTTTTATGCGGTAAACCCTACCAGGAGTGTCCAATCTTTTGGCTTCTCTGTGCCACCCTGGAAGAAGAGGAGCTGTCTTGGGCCACACATTAAATCCACAGCACTAAGATAAAACTGATGAGCAAAAAAAAAAAAAAAAAAAAAAAAGTCCATGCACAATTTCTGAGACATCTGCCACCAAGGATGAGCACAAAAGTCATCATATAATCTGCATGCAG